GACAATAGGAATTGCAGCTCCAAAACTGGATGGATCTCGGCGCCAAAGCAAAAAAAAACACGATTTTGAAACACTTTTTAAAAGGCATTTTACAAGGAAAATCACCAGCGCCAAAATTGAAAATCTGCTGACACATCACAATCGCAGCCTTGATGCAGCCACTCCAATACGATCTACGATGTCCAGCTGCAAAAGACACTAGTATTACGTGCGCAGCAGCGGCACCAAGCAACCTTGACGCAGCCTTTACAGTGCGATCTGCAGAGACTGAATTGCAAAACACCCGAGAATTACGCACAATGGCAACAGAAATTGGAGGTCCAAAACCTCTAGGCGCCAAAGCAAAAAAAAGGCGATTTTGAAACACTTTTTGAAAGGAATTTTAAAAGGAAAATCACCAGCGCCAAAATTGAAAAATCTGCTGACAAATCATTATCGAAGCCTTGATGCAGCCACTCCAATACGGTTTAGGATATCCAGCTGCAAAAGACAATAGTATTACGCATGCAGCCGCGGCACCAAGCAACCTTGACGCAACCATTACATTGCAATCTCCAGATACTGAATTGCAAAACACAATAGAACTACATGCAACGGCGTGAGATATTGCAGCTCCAAAACCGGATCTCGGCACCAAAGCAAAAAAAACGATTTTGAGGCACTTTTTAAAAGGAATTTTAAAAGGATCATCACCAGCGCCAAAACTGAAAAATCTGCTGACAAATCACAATCGCAGCCTTGATGCAGCCACTCCAATACGATCTACGATGCCCAGCTGCAAAAGACAATAGTAACTACAGTATTACGCATGCAGCCGCGGCACCAAGCAACCTCGACGCAGCCATCACAATGCACTTTGCAGCATGACGTGGCAAACCCGCATGTATCTACACACATGGCAACAGAGCATGAGGTAGTTTTCATCGCCGGCTGCAGCCACTTTACACGGAAAAACGCAAGGTTTCGTGCTCCGGCTTCCTCCCCAACACAAGCCCTTTGCAGCATGACGTGGCTAACCCGCATGTATCTACACACATAGCAACAGAGCATGACAACAATCATGCAGCCATTAGACGGGTGGTATGTATGCAGTTGACTTGTCAATAGCGGTTTATAGATAGATCAAGTAAAGTGCTTGTGTTGCAAGCACGCCCTTGTCTTGTGAAAGTCATGAACTTCCGTTTATCCTTTTTTCTCTGTGCCTTCTCTTTTGCCCTTGCTTCTTTCGAAGTAAGAGGGAATTGCACAAGGTCTCCACGCGTGTTCTACGCTGGCAAAACGCGTAATATGTTCTTGTCGTGTTCTCTCCTCTCTTGCGAGCGCGCGTCTTCTACACACGTCTAAGACGTTTGTCGTGTTCGGGTTTCTCACGAGAAATCTGGAGAATAAATTTTAAGATGCCATGAATGCTGCAGTGGAACGCATTCAACATGTTGCACGGAGCCGTGATGCCGAACATGACATATCACGATGTCATGACATTCAACTTCAAGTTTTAAAATGTTTCAAAAAGATCCTCATCTGGTGATGCAGATTATTTTCCTGGGAGCTCACTATCAAAATTAATAATTTTGAAATCACCGATTTGTACATGCTAATCCATGCGTCCGTTCGAACCCAGGAAAATAATTTTGGTTCAAAATTATTTTCCTGTGGTGTACAAACGTCCGGCCACAGGAAAATAATTTTCATGGGGGGGGAGTTCACTAGAACATATCTGTACGTCAAACCCCAGGAAAAAAAAGTCCCATGATTATTTGAGGGGGTATGGTTCTTTACATGACTTTGCAAAAAAGGTACAAACACATATGTTCAGCTTCACCAACCAAAAAAGTGACTTGAAGAGGCCGAGGCGCAGGTGTCAAAAATAAAATCCAAGGGGCTGGACCTTTTTTGGCTGAATACTTGTGGATGATCTTCAAAGGTTGGCCCCACAGGCAAAAAGTCGCATCACCAGGCCGATCATCCACAGATAGGACACGATGGGACGAATTCAAGAATTGTGTGTCAACACGCGCCCAAATTGCAAAATATGCGTTTTTTTTCCTCAAGATACATTTGCCCTTGCAAAAGGGTACAACCACATATGTTCAGCTTCACCAACCAAAAAAGTGACTTGAAGAGGCCGAAGCGCAGGTGTCAAAAATAAAATCCAAGGGGCTGGACCTTTTTTTGGCTGAATACATGCGGGTGATCTTCAAAGGTTGGCCCCACAGGCAAAAAGTCGCATCACCAGGCCAATCATCCACAGATAGGACATGATGGGACGAATTCAAGAATTTTGTGTCAACGCGCCCAAATTGCAAAATATGCGTTTTTTTTCCTCAAGATACATTTGTCCATGCAAAAGGGTGCAAACACATATGTTCAGCTTCACCAACCAAAAAAGTTACTTCAAGAGGCCAAGGCGCAGGGGTCAAAAATAAAACCCAAGGGGCTGGACCTTTTTCGGCTGAATGCTTGCGGATGATCTTCAAAGGTTGGCCCCACGGGCAAAAAGTCGCATCACCAGGTCAATCACCCACAGATAGGATATGATGTGACGAATTCAAAAATTTTGTGTCAACGCGCGCCCAAATTGCAAAACACATGTTTTTTTGCTGAAAATACATTTGCCCTTGCAAAAGGGTACAACCACATATGTTCAGCTTCACCAACCAAAAAAGTGACTTCAAGAGGCCGAGACGCAGGTAACAAAAATAAAATCCAAGGGGCTGGACCTTTTTTTGGCTGAATATTTGCGGATGATCTTCACAGGTTGGCCCCACAGGAAAAAAGTCGCATCACCAGGTCAACCATCCATAGATAGGAAATGATGGGACAGATTGAAGAATTTTGTTCCAACGTGCGTTCCAACGTGTGCCCAAATTGCAAAACAGGCGTTTTTTCCTGAAGATACATTTGTCCATGCAAAAGGGTGCAAACACATATGTTCAGCTTCACCGACACAAAAAGTGAACTGGAAACGTTCGGATCCGCGATTTAATATGTTCCAGGCGCGGGGTTATTTACTAAAGTTGTGATCCTCGCAACCCAGAAAATACGTCTAGCAACAGCATATGCTAACACGTGATTTAATTTGGGTGGTTGTGAAAATGCGGTAAGCTCCAAAGCATCTAATTCTTGATTTTAATTTTTCTTAAGTAATTGGGAATGAAGTGATGCATACGATAAACGAGTGAGTTTTGGGTTCGTCTTCAGATAGCCCCCATTCGAATCTGTTAGTCTATTAACAGCATATATTGAGGGGTGGTTTGTTGAGCAGTGTATGAGGGTTGGCACCCAGGAATTTAATTAATAACAGAGGGGAAGACATGCCTTTCTGGAAACCTTAGGCGTCAGAAAATTAGTGCCTGCAAGCTTCATTCGTCTGAGAATGTAAATTCCGGCAAGAAAGGTCAGGCACCAGGATTTTAATCTCAAAAAGGTCAGTACCCCAAAAATAACCCAGTTATTTTCCTAGGACAGGACTCTCCGGGGTGCACCAGATGGGGACCAAAAAGGAAACCTAGACATTTGTGACAAGGTATATGCAACACTCTGTTACCATGACAATTGATTTATGTTTCATGTGATGTTATTGCCCAAGTGGGAGGTGAGGGTGGGAAATCCAAACAGAAGTTTGGATGATGCAAGCTTTTTAGTCGATGCGTCGCAGCGCGGTTTTGAAGGGACAGACCGCATTTCATCATCCCGTTTGCATGGGAACATGGGTGCATTTTACAAGCACCTTCTGGTGTGGTTTGACTGTAGGTTTTTGCTGCGGCATTGTTTCTGCATTCGCTGCAATTTTCCTGCGGATTGTCAACACCAGTGGATGAACATCAGGTCCACGAGGGACATTCATTGTAGCCTTGAGAGATTTTCTACTGGTCACAACAGCTGTCTTTTTCTCCACACCATTTGGAGGCATTATTCAGTTTCTGTTTCTGTTTCACCTTTTCGGACCCTGCTGCACAGTTTCGACTGGCCCGGGCTCACGTGGTCATTTTGGTGGACAGAGCAGAGGTTGCGCTGAGTGCTACAGCTCATTTGTTGGGGATCGACAGCTTTTTATCTTCATTTACTGTGCCTACACCGCCATTGCAAGAGTGGCCCATTGCCAACCACCACAATGGTAGTGACTCATCCTATTCCACTGGATCTGAAGCGGAAGTGGGGGGATTCAATGGTTTTACATGAAAATCCTCCACAGGATACTACTGGTTTTGATTCGAATGCATACAACCAGCACTTGCAGTTTTGTTGAAATCAAGTCAGAAAGGACAACATCCTCTGCATGCCGTGGGATTTGCATTTGAAATCTCCTGGAGATGTTTTTGAAAAGTCCGGAAGCATTTTCAGCATATCAGGGCAGATGCCACCTATCCCAGCATCTGGCCAGGAGACGTTGTTTGAGAAAGATCCCCTGCGACGGATGCGAAAAGCAAGTGACCTCAGGATGGCACATGGGAAACAAGAGATAAATAAATGGAAATTTGTTACTGACAAGGGTACTTGACAATCTATAATATTGTTATGTGATGCCAAGTCTCACACCACAGTCTCACACCACCCTTCATTGAGTGTATTGTTATGTGATGTCAAGTCTCACACCACAGTCTCACACCACCCTTCATTGAGTGTATTCTGATGTGATGTAAAGTCTCACACCTCCCTTCATTGAGTGTGTTGTTATGTGATGTAGAGTCTCACAATTCAATTTGTCAGTAACTCGGAAGATTGCTTCCCAACTTCCTTCGATAATATAAAATAATATATTCTAATATATTACAATACATGATGCTATATTAGAATATATTATAGTAAAATAATATAATATAATATAAATAATATGTAAAACCTTGGTTTAGCATGAACTAGGCATATGGAAGCAATGAATCATGGATTTGGATGGATTTGGGTTTTCACAAAAGCGATGAAGGCGATGACTGTCCATGTAAAAACATACGCCATAACAACTGGCGTTTCTTCGTTGCGCTTGACTCCAACTTCCACAGGCTTCACTTGGAGTCCAATACTCACCTTCGCAGCGACAGTGGAGAACCAATATACTCTGGCAGCTGTGAACCGCAACTTTTCCGTGGCTTTACGTTCCGCAGTGGTGTGGGCAACATGGCAAGATATGGCAAGATCAAACCCTGAGAGCTGGTCCTCCAAACCAAGCTTTGGGTTAGGATGAAATGGGGAATATTTCCTCTTTGTTCCAAATGGTTTAGTTTAGTCCAAAAATTGCGGGATCGGGCCAGTGGGCCGCGAAGTGATGGCAACTTTCATAGGGGAAACTCATGACAATCCATTGAAAGTAGGGGTGCTGTACCAATTTTCAGACCATGGTGGCTGGGCTGGACCTTGATTGGCAATGTGGGTGCGGGAAATCCCAAGCTGGAACCATATTGTCACCAACCAAATGACGATCCACACCTATCAGAATCTTGGGGGGGTTAATTAAATAGAATGGGTTTAGGTAGTTAATCGTATAGTTTTTTTGAGCATAGTATAGGGTACCCCAGACTTCCATGGTTGATCATCATTTTTGCACAAACCCATACGTATATATATATATGTAGATATGCATGCATGCATGCAAGCTATGTAATGTATGTATGTATGTAATGTATGTAATGTATGTAATGTATGTAATGTATGTAATGTATGTAATGTATGTAATGTATGTAATGTATGTAATGTATGTAATGTATGTAATGTATGTAATGTATGTAATGTATGTAATGTATGTAATGTATGTAATGTATGTAATGTATGTAATGTATGTATTGTATGTAATGTATGTATGTATGTATGTATGTATGTATGTATGTATGTATGTATGTATGTATGTATGTATGTATGTATGTATGTAATGTATGTAATGTACTGTATGTAATGTATGTAATGTATGTAATGTATGTATGTATGTATGTATGTATGTATGTATGTATGTATGTATGTATGTATGTATGTATGTATGTATGTAATGTATGTATGTATGTAATGTATGTATGTATGTAATGTATGTATGTATGTATGTATGTATGTATGTTGTATGTATGTATGTATGTATGTATGTATGTATGTATGTATGTATGTATGTATGTATGTATGTATGTATGTATGTATGTATGTATGTATGTAGTGTATGTAGTGTATGTAATGTATGTAATGTATGTATTGTATGTAATGTATGTAATGTATGCAATGTATGTAATGAATGTACTGTATGTAATGTATGTAATGTATGTAATGTATGTAATGTATGTAATGTATGTAATGTATGTAATGTATGTAATGTATGTAATGTATGTAATGTATGTAATGTATGTAATGTATGTAATGTATGTAATGTATGTAATGTATGTAATGTAAGTAATGTATGTAATGTATGTAATGTATGTAATGTATGTAATGTTGTATGTATGTATGTATGTATGTATGTATGTATGTATGTATGTATGTATGTATGTATGTATGTATGTATGTATGTATGTATGTATGTATGTATGTATACCATATCCGAAGAATCAACCCTCCTGGCAAAAAATTGTCCTTCGATAGTTAACCATGAAATATTCACATTGATTGGTTGAATTCACCTTTTCTCTGGCCAATCGATTGGTTACCTGAACAATTTTGCTGCTTAAGTCCCACATCCATGTGTCAAATTTACCAGTTTTGTTATGGTAAAATCCGTCTTGGTTAAAATCCACAAGGTCTGCTGGTGAATTCCCAATGTTTATTGGTGAATCCCCATTTTTGTTGGTTAAACAACCTCCATTTTGCTGGTGAAATCTTTCTGTCTGTCTAAGGAGGGCCATGATGTGACCTTTGCTGAGTCGCACTTCGTGGGTTTGACCAAGCGCGGCTGGTGCACTGCTTTGGCTCTGATGTCGTGCCTGCAACGGGCCAGGTGAGGTGCTGGTGACATGGATGAAATCCACATTTTGCTAGATGGATATGAAATATATGAAATTTGAGACCCCTTTTTTAGGGTCTCATATTTTTTTTGGTTCTCAAAAATTTCGTTTTCAGAATTTGGATGCGTGTTTTTCCCTCTTTTTCTCTCACTCTGTGGAGAAGTCTGCTGCGACGGTCGAAAATTTGGGCGGTCAAATTTTCAGGCCCTGCGCTCCGAAAACCCTGCGACTTTGGTTGGTTTTTGTAAGTATAATTGTGGTGTCCCCAATGATTTGACATATCTTGACGGAGCCTTATATCCTAATATCCTTCTTTTCAGGTGTCCAAAGTGGCTGTACTCTCCCAATTGAACTAGTACCCTCCGGTAATCAAACATGGCAATGGACAATCCATCACGATGATTGGTCACTGCTATCTTTTTTTGACTCCATTGATGACTTGAATGGAGACCTGGCCAGGAGCCTTCGCTTGACGAGTTTTCGTAACAGCGCGTTGCGAATCTCTGCATCCTCGGTCTTGGAGAAAGCCTCCGCAGAGCTTTGTCCGCAGGCGCAGCTGGCTGAGACGATCAGATTTCGGGCTCCAAAGCTACACCAGATGGGGATTTCTAGCAATTTCTTAAGTCATGGGCCCCAAGTCACCATGGGTTGGATGATTATTTTGGGTACCAACATGACTTAGGAAACTTCCATATATATTTTGGGGCTACTTGAGTGTTCACCAGGGTCTAAATATATACTGCCAGGCGAATCCGAAAGATCTGTTGCAAAGGGGTCGCTACATTGACCGGATTTAGCAAAGAATCAACGTGGATACAGCAAGTAATCAACGTGGATATAGAAAATCCACCATTTACATCCATTTACTGAATAGATCATGATAGACTACTAAATGTTCATCTATTTTCCTAAGGAAACTGCAGTTGTTTTCCAACATGTATCTTAACTTACTGGAGCGTAGCACTCACTTTGTCTCGCAGGTGATGGTCTTGCCATGCAGCTTTTGTGAGGCCGGTCTGGCTGCAGACCACGATATGATGCCTTGCAAATTCCTGGGAAGGAGTGTAAATATACGTAAATAAATGAATACAAAAAACATATTTACCTATACACACATATCACATATATATATATAAACATATATATATATGTTATATTATATATTATATATTATATTATATATTATATTATATATTATATTATATATTATATTATATATTATATTATATTATATATTATATATTATATATTATATATTATATATTATATTATATATTATATATTATATATTATATATTATATATTATATATTATATATTATATATTATATATTATATAATACTGTACATGTATGTAAAATGTATACACACACACATATGTACCGATATGCACACACATCATAAACTTATGGCGCAAGAGTTTGATGGCCAAGCACACCGCATCAAACTCAAACAACGACAGATCCCCGTTTTTGATGGCCATAAATTGAAGTAGCTCGCCCATGGCTACTCATCATTTGCGCTGTGATCCACCATATTCGCAGCCTTTTCCCCACATCACCCCGTTGTAGCACCATTTATATCCTCCATTTGCTGTACATCCAAATTGTACCCCCCCCTTTGCCTAGATCCAACGAGCTTGCGGCATCACTGCAGGAGCATTGTGGTGAGCAAATCGATCTCCCCTCGCCTCGGCGTTTACGAGCAGTCAGGCTAGGCTGGCAGGTGCAGTTAGGCTTAGAATCGGTTAGAAGTGTCGATGACTCCTTTCAAAAGTGCAGGTTTGGATTGTTGCCCGTGGTACCATTTGTCTTTTAATGTGAATGTCCCAGCTATTTGGGTTCATCAGGTTACCGGGCTTTTGACCCACAGCCATGATCGTGGACAATATATAGAATATAAAAAAATTATCTACATGTATATATATATACATATTTGCATGTCCATGTATGGCATATGCATACAACATGTTTGGAGAACTCCAGCTCCCTGAGGCGGCCCGGTGCAAAGAACAAGGGCGGTGGCTTGCTGTTGGGCACCGGGCCTTTACCCAGAGATGCAGAGAACCTGCGAAGCTTTGCTGTGCGTTTGGAGGCGCAACGTTGGGATGGTTGGATTGCGGTAGTTGGATGGTTTTGGCTGCAACTTTTGGGTGATTTCATGGGATATCATGGGGATATCATGGATGCCAAATAGGATGTTGATGGAATATATATATATCGAATAGATCCCAATGGATATTTTGATGCTGGGATTTAGTTGGCTCTTGATTTGTCTGGTTTCGAATTGAATGATGGAAAGCACATGAGCAGTGGCTGCTAAACTTCTGCCGGTTTGTTGGTTGATGAATATACGGGGATACTATCCAAACCTATCCAATATATTATATAAATATATAGACATAATAGACATAATAGGGGATTATATCATCATCCATGGGAATTCATCTTAACCTGCAAAACGAATCTGTTTTTCGACCAGGTCTTGTCTCCGGGTGAACGTCTGGACATCGGTGTGACGGCGCAGGCCCACCATCAGGGCTTCCCGGCCTTCTGGCATCGGCCCAAAAAGGTCCTTGGATTTACCACCACCGAAATCTGAAACCATTCACCAAGATTGCACGTTGAAAGGTGCGCGTGTTCTTTTGGGGTGGACTTGCAACCATGAAAGTTGAGGCAGTTGAGGTTGGTTGTAGATGGGTGCTGTCTAAACATGTCTAAACTCAAGGTTCACATCCACAAGTGAACTGAGAGGATTTCGTTGGGATTTTCAAGCCGGTAAATCATCATGTTACCGTTTTGGAACGATCGGCCATTCTAGGGGCCTGGGTGGTGATCAATTCATGTTCCCATTTCAACGAACGGTAATTTTCAGACAAACCCATCCTGAAATCTAGTAAATCTCGAGTTTTGGTGGTGAAATTGCAGATTTGGTACATAATCATCCCTAATTTGGTACTTAACAAGCCCGACTTTTGATGCTTTAAATTGTTAAATCTTGGCTGGTTAAATCCTCCAATTTTGAGATAAACCCAGATTATTCCTATATAATGGTTGGTTCTATACCAGCATGTTGGTTCACTCCCATTTTATTGGATTATATTCCCCCCATAATCGCAAATTCTGGAGGCGCCCTGCGCGCATTTCGCATCTGATGCCGTGGTGGGCCTACGACGGCCCCAGGTCACATTCGCAGAGGCGACAAACTGGGGACTCAACCAATGAAGATGGGATTTTACCAACAAGAATTTCTCATTAAACCAATACTTTATCCAAAACTGGGGGATCTAGGTGCAAAGAATATTGTGGATTTAATTTATGCTGGAAGATGGATTGAAACAAGGGCTAATCTCGAGGGAGAACTGTTACCAAATGTGAGGTCCCGATCCATACCCCCTCCCCACAGGCGATCCATACCGGTTTTTTGAGCGCCATTTGTTGCTTTGAAATCGAGGGGCTGTGGGGGCCAGGACCTACTGAGCAGCTGGGTGGTTGAATCTTCCGGACTGTTGGTTGGCAGCCATGCAGGACTGCCGGTTAGCATGGGGTTGGCAGCTAGAAGTTGCTGGGTTCTGTCGGATGTTGGAGCAGAGAAAGGTAGAGGGACATTTCAGAATGGCTTGTTGTGGGTTGTTTTTTTTAAGCAACCAAATTACATCAAATTACAATCCAGAAGCAACACAAAGTTTAACACACACACACACACTTCTTACTGGTAGTCATTTCATTCGTCAAACTCATTCCGGTTTTCAATGACTGGGCTTCAAGGCTTGCGCATTCGAGATGAGCGCTGGAACGCCCGCAGCCTTTGCGCCGGACTGGGCTTCAATTTTTCTTGCGCATTCGGTTATCCTCGGGTAATTTGTTACGCAGCCTTTGCGACCATGCGACCTGGTGTTTAGCATTTTTCACCGCTGGCTGGTTATCCTCGGGTAATTTGTTACACTGTGGAAAAGGATGACCATGGCCAGTTTAGTTCGATGATGTAATTACCTATGATATCCTATGGTGATATCCATGAGTTTAATGGTGATTTTCCATAGCAAACTGTTAAATGAACAGAGCTGGAACCAAGACGATTTTGGTCCAAAAAATCTGAGTATTCCATGGTTGGTCATCAAAATGGCAATAGCTTGGTGGTATACTCCATTTTCAGACACACCAATTGAACGAATGAAATGCTGGAATGATGATTAGAGACCAAGAAATATGCTGCCTACCTAGCAATGAATTGACCACTATTTTTGATGCTTAATAAATAATATAATATAATATAATATAAAATAATATAAATAATATAAAATAATATAAAATAATATAAATTAATATAAAATAATATATAATATAATATCAAAATAATATGATATAAAATAATATATATGATAATATAATATAATATAAACTGATATAATATAAAATGATATAATAAGAGACAATGTAATGTAATGTAAAATAACATATAATATGATATAATATAAAATAAAATAATATAATATGGTATAATATTATTTAATATAATAAAATATAATGTAATGTAATGTAATATAATATATAAAATGATACAATATAATATTAAATACTATAATATAATATAATACAATATACAATACAATTTAATATATAATAATATAATATAAAATATAATATAATATATAATACAATATAATATATAATATAATATTATATATAATATAAATAATATAATACAATACAATATAATATGGTATAATATAATATAATATAATAAAATATAATATAATATAATAAAATATAATATAATATAATATAATATAATATAATATAATATATGTATAATATAATATATGTATAATACAATATATAATATATATATATACATATACATATACACAAAGAAATAACAACAACCAGTTGTATATTGGTTAGATTACCCAGCCATGGGTGCCAGGCTTGCTGTCACCCGTAGCGGCGAGATGCGTTTGTCCGTGAACGGCGAGGAGCTGGCCATGTGGCGGGCGCAAATTCCCTGCGAGCACCTGGGTGAGACAAATTGAGGATCTAACCATGGAAAATGACCGAAATGTGGATTCAATTAGAAAAAATAGGGACATGAATCGATATAACAATTGGATTCGATTGGAAAATGGGCCTAGGTTTGTCCAAACATGGGACCCCCGAAATATCCAAATTATTGGTCACTTTGTTGTTCATGGGGAGGCATGTGTGGTTTTGGGATAGTGGCAGGCAACCAAAACCAACTTGTGGTGAAGTTGGTGCATGTGGTTGATGTGTGAATGATATGGGTGTGTCTGAAAATGGGGTATACCACCAAAATAATGTAACTATGGAACATCACCATTTACATTAGGTAAATCAACCATCAATGGGCCATTTTCAATAGCCATGTTGAATTACCAGAGAGTATACCGCAGTATACCACCAAAACAGAAACTGTAAGAGTGAAAGTGATGACAAACCATAATATTTAGAGACACACTATTTTGCACAAACCAGAAACATATTTCCACCCTGGGAATATTGAGCCATCAACCCGCTCTGCTCAGGATTCCAATCTTCCCTGTGGTGGATCTGTTTGAGGGCGCTCCTCAAATCAGTTTGGAATTTGAATCGCTTAAAAAACACATCTGATATGAATACGCAGTAGTTACATAAACATATTGATCCTATTCAAATATGCAGGTCTAGGATTTTATCGTGAATTCCAATGGTCCATGGGCCTATTCCTGCTATGCGCAATATAGAACATTCCCACAACATCAATTCCCTGCATTGCGACGATAAACTATGAAATTACATTTTCGCAACATTAATCCCCAAATTGAAAGAAATAACTTCGCGAACTCAGAAATGAAAGTGACTTTCGCGACCACTCATGTGGCGTGATGTACAAAACTTGCAAGGACCTTTAGATCAACACTTGTAATTGATTGGACATACGTTTGTGAGGCTGTATTACTAGCCAATTTAATAGCTTTCCGGGTCCTTTGGCTGTTGGCGGAGAGGCCGAAAGCAAGGGTTGTTGGCGTGCGTGGCTGGCTAGGTGGCTGGGTGGCTGGCTGCGGCTGGCTCTCCTGCCTCGGCTGGCTGTCGCTGGCTGAAATGAAGGCTGATATACTTGACGTGCTTGATGAGGCTGATGAGGAGGATATCTGGTTGTGGCTGACCGGCTGGCTAACTAGGCGGCTGGCTGGCTGCGTGGCTGCCTAGGTGGCGAACTATATATATATATATTTATTATTTATATATATATATTATTTATATATATATTTTATATATAT